TTCCAATACATCGATGGTCAAAGACAAGCAATTTTTTCTTGCCTTCAACACACGACGGCCAAGCATCACAACCACGAAGCAACAGCGGACGCGCTCTTAATCCTTCCACCGGCAGGCTAATGAGACGTCCAGCTCAGAGGTGCCTGAGTTGAAGACAGAACGGGCCTTGGCGATTCTATTCACTCCGTTGAAGGAGACAAAGCTGTCCTACAAAGCTGTACTACCGTAGACGTACACGCTCCCATAACCATTGTATTATCGTTATAAAATCGAGATGGACAAAGTGATTAGAGCGCGAAGTTACTGACCGGAAGATCCATGGTTCGAACCCGACCTCTGCCTCTCGACTTCCCCTGTTTAAGCTTGGGCTACCTGGCACTATTCCAGCCCTCGTGCTTCTTCCGTGTGGCATGGCAGTTAGGCATCGAAAGGGTGCCACAGCTGAACGATTATAAAGGTGGAACGAAACTAACCGGTAGGTTTTCGAAGAGGCATCGCCATAAAGAAGCGCGATCGAATTGGTCCAACGGTGCTTTTCGGTCTAGGAAAGTGACTGTTGTTGGTCTCCTAAATATGTGAGGTGGTCGAGAGGTAATCAGGAGGTGGAGCATCCAAGACCCGGAAAAAAGCCTGCTTGGTTTTCACAACTACCTCTCGCAACTCTACGTAGGACAATACTGTGAGCAACCTAGAAACGATGGGGAAGAAGATGATACCCCGACTATTCTCACGCCCAACTCTAACATCTATTTTGAGGGAAGGCACAATATCAAATAGCTACCATTTCTCTGCCGTCAGCTTCGCAAAGAAATGTGCCCATCTTGTCGAAACGTGAATGATTATATCTTCCTACATCTTTAAACAAGACAAGAGGAAAACAGTCGTTCAGCTGTAACACCCTTCCAGTGTCTGGCTGCTACGCTACCCGAAGGAAGCACGAGGGCTGGGATACTGCCAGGCTGCCCAAACCTAGACAGGGGAAGTCGAGAGGCAGATGTCGGGTTCGAACCACGGATCTTCCGGTCAGTAACTTCGCGCTCTAACCACTTGAGCCATAATAAGGACCAGGTGCTTTGTGTCGCTCCGGAAATATGAGTTTCGTTTTTGGTTTCATCTTCTGCTTTGACCGAACAATTCATGTCCCACCGTAAATTCGTTGATGTGGCCTGGTCATTATACTGAGGACCCCAAGCAAACTAAACTGTCCTTCGACATGTTCCACTCATCGAAGCAGGCGTCCGAATGAACTTTCGAGGCGTTATGCCCTATAACGACTTCACTGGCCGACAGTTTTCTTGGACCGCGAAGAAATTTCCAGTCGTCGCTCCCTTCCCCCTTTTCTTTCGCTTACCCTAAACACTCCTCCTGATCAATCTTGAGACTGCAGATCAAGCGTTGTTTTGGAAACCTTCACGCGAAATCGTATCGTCGTTCCGGTAAGACCACGTTCCTAGCCTCGGTCAGTGACAAGGATTGCCGTGAAATCAAACCTGAATGGGACCAAGACCTAGATTCGCGGAGCTCCAGGCTAGACCCTGAACTCCCAGTATACAGGATTTCGGTTTGTTTCGCGATCAGGATGCATATAGATGGCCACTTTCGATGGGCTTCTCCGACGATCCAAAATTGTGAGTATCACAGTGGTGAATGGTCTTTTCAGTCGCTGGGAAACGAGCTGCGACACTTGGACGAACCGGAATATGGTCTGACTCTACACACCTGTTCCAAAACGAGCAACATGGTTGAACAAAATATTGCCCATCTATGGATGACTGCTATGTGGTCAATGAGCCTTGGACTCAAAGTCTGATAACCAAGGTAGTGGGAAAATGTAGGGTTCTGTTCCGGGTTTTCTTGGAGACCCTGCCCAAAGCCAGTGACCCAATTGTCTGATACCTGGTTGTGGAAGTCCTACCGAACCCGAAGGCACCAGGCATGACTGTTGCAAAGGACATGCAAATTACCAAGGTATGGGCTTTCATTTGACTAAATGTTACGTCGCATCTGAAGCAGGTGATCATGTGACAGGTCCTCCAAGCGTCCGACCGCACTACGAAGACCTGAGCATCAGTGAGCGCAAGAGGCTTCGTGGCTACGATTCACGGAGTGGTGGAGAAAATTCGAGCTGCCTTCGGTATGTGCAAGCATGCTAGCAGGCTGCATGCTTCGCGTCCATATTCGGACTTCTATACTAAACGTACATTCGGTAGTTAAGATACCTACCACTATTCTAATTATCACACCCGATTAGTCTAGTGAGTTTCACTATATCAGGTACTCTAACTGAGAGCCGTTCCACGCAGTTCCCACAATTGCTTTGCAACCCGCAAAAAAAAACGTTTCATTCTGGCAAATCCAGAGTTCTTGGCCACCATTCAAAATATCTTGTGATTGACTCGATCGTTTGATTGCCATGCGGGGTCCAAATGACAATAAACCGAAAGGGGTTCGTCGGCTCAAACCAGTGACTGATATGACGTTTCAACTTCATTCTTCGGAAGAGAATGAATCCGAATTTGAGTATGCAACGTTGAAATATTATCACTTGCATTCATTTGCTCGCAGTAGCGCATACAATTGGCATTTTGGCCGATGAGATTCTGGTTGGTTCCGAGGACCAATCGCTTGCGGCTGGGAACAGCGTCTAGAAAATCTACACTACATCTGCACGCTCCAGACTGGGCTTAGAATGAATCACAGGCGACCCATTCATGGCACAAGCTCGGGTGGATTGAAGCTCCTACGCAGAGGCGACCCGATGACGGGCCATCGTAACTGAAAATAATTCTGAAACACGGCCTAAGAGAATGACCTTCGGCGTATAGCTTCAAGTCGACAACAACCTTCCCTGTACTTTCTGACCCCTCAGGTGTTATTCAGCGCCCATGCAACCGACGTAAGAATGTGTGTGTATTGTAAACGACTGACAACAATCCATGCAATTAGCAGTACTTGATAAAAAAAGTAACCCTAAAATTAGAGGTACTGAAGGGACTGTCATGAACAGGCTGAATCTGGAATAGATCTGTTGCAAAAAAAACAACAGAATGAGTAATATAAGGTGGGATGGGTGAATCACATGATAGCGTGTGGTGGCTCAAGTCTACCCGAAGCATCGGACTTCACGAGAAAACCAGACACCGCGGTCGTTCGGACTGAGGACGACGATGCGGAGGTCTCTATCGATTGCTCAATTTGTTTGGTTACCGGTATAGTGGACCGGTTTAATCTAAGGTGAGCGGACACTAGATCGTCCGTATCCAAAGCCGCCATCAAGCTGAGTTCACCGGCCAGTACCGTTCCAGCGATGAGACGTGCCAAATGTTCCGTCGGTTTATCCACACTCAAGTCAAGTATGTCCAGGCAGGCTCGCTGGGCGGGTAGACGTGTCCCACCCCCGATTGTCCCCACTTCAATGCACGGCATCGTGACGCTCACAACCAGAGACTCGTTATCGCCCACTTCGAACTGTGTGAGGCATGCGGCAGCATCGACTACCTGAAACAAACAAAATAACAATCATAGGATAGTAATGATGGGATTATATCTGGAGGGCACAAGCAAAGGATTGTGGATGTTGAGACACCTACGGAAGACTGGCACTGGGTCACCGCTACCTTCCACGTTGGTCATGTGACAGCTCAGAGGCGCTGTCAGTGCTAGGGTTGACTCTGGAAGGCTGAAACCCTACAACCAAATGATATGACCAAGCTCTAAATTTGGACCAGCTAGCTTTTACAAGCACTGCTGCACAAAGCAGTGCACAGGTGACGTGGTGCCATCACAAAGTTTTTGGTGTAGGACCTGTAAAGCTGCTAGCCTTTGATCTGTGTCGCCTAGCCGGCTTAAGTAGCCGGCAGGGAGTTAGTACGAGTACAGTGAACGTACTTGGGCCAAATCTTGTCCGGTTGCAGCAAAAAGCCCAGCAACAATATTGGCCGCATGTGCATTGCATCCCATCATACCAGGACATCCAGCCATGGCCGAGCCAGTCCAGTTCTTCGCGTGTGCCAATCGGGTTAGACGTGCGGCAGTCGTGTGCAAGACCTGAGCAAGCACTGTGGCTGGCAAACAGGACTCAACGATGACCGATTTACCTCGTCCCAGAGTAGTATTGATCGTCGCGGCTTTTTTGTCCGTGCACATATTGCCACTGAGAGAGATGACCTAGGAGGATGGGAACAGAAAAATAGAATAGAATAATAGGTAATCGGTGCCGATAGGATGTTCGAAGAACAGGCAATGTGTGGAGCAGTGCGAAGAAACCAGACGTTTTTCAAGAAAACTGTATGTCATAACGCCGCGTCTGGCTTCCAGTGTGATCGCATCGCATTTGTGTTTTTTATGCGTTTTCCCTGAACAGTTGACTATCTAAAGTTGGCAGTTTGAGGAAGTTCAGCTGCAGTCATATCAAAGATTTGGCTCATCTAATTGCGTGGTTTACATGATATCCCGAGATCGAAGAGAAGTACGGCAACTGTGACGCCCACGCGCATCTGCCGTGAAAGCGTTCGGTTGGACACGAGCGCACATGTTACCACGCGGTGGTGCACACTGAGGGCATACTGACAACGATACAACTTCATCCATAAAATATATCACCGGGATTGAGCAGGGCTGGTGAGCGCTGGGCAAAATCGTTTGACTGGAGCAAACTAAGCCGCACCCATATCTGGCCTGAATCATGTTCACCTCTTTCAAATGGTACCGCAAAATGGAATACTAGAAGCCGATGTGTAAAAGAAACATCCACGGGAAACGTCAGTTTCAACCGTCGAATCGGTTCAAAACTTCAAAACACAAATAAGCAATGAAGGTGACTAGTAGACTGTGGAATTGGTAACGGCACCTGAGTAAAATATTTCGTATCCGCTTGCATTTAAAGTGGTAGGTTCACTCTTCAGAGTGACTTTGCCTTACTATGGTGCGCAGTGGACCGATAAAACTCAATCACAATAGCAGAAATTGTGACTCGAACTCCGTTGGACGGAGCGCAAATTCTCTCCAAATCGGCAGTTAATCCACTGGCGAGCAGAATTTTTCACAGAAGCATTGTTCTGCAGATCATCTGTGAACTCAAGCCCCTACCGAGGAGTACGTTCACTGTTTTAGCACTCGCAAACAGCCGACCGTATGAAAGCTATCCATAGGGAGGCATAATTCAGTACCAGATGGACTGTACAGATTGAATGCACCAAATGAAGCATGCACGTGAAATGGGCAAGACAACAAATACCATTGCGAATGATCACGTGGCATGGGTCGGTAAATTTGCACAGGACTAATTGGCGCAATCGACCGCAACGAATTAATGATCTTTTTCATTAAACCAACGTTGAAATTTATGTCAATTTAACACTGAACACCCGATAGAAAGAAAGGAGGGTGACATCGGCGAGAAAAAGAGGTACTGCGTTAAAATAATGACTACAAGATTTGAGGCCGGGACAGACTGATGCGATGGTTCGCACCCAGCGACCATTCATCAGACGCACTCACCTGCATTGTGGGGAAGTGACGCTGAAGTTCGTGAAGTGCCGCATTCGTCGCCTTGCTTACCATATTCATCCCCATGGCATCTCCTGTGCGGGCAGAAAAGCGAATGTGTAGATAGTGCCCTGTCTGAAAGGCAAAGAAATTTCAGTAGAAAAATAATGGGCAATCTACGAGAATTTTCGACGCACAATCGGTAAGGGGGAGTAGTGTACCAATAAAGTGCTAGTGATGATTAACGCGCAGCGTCACACTACACGTCGTTATGAAACGTGAGGAACTAAGAATAAGTTTACCATTATAATCATCGACAGTATGACATCAGTGTTCAACATTGATGCTTCACGGCCGTAAAACCATGATTTATTTGAAAGCCTTATTGTAAAGAAAAGAGTAAAGGTTGACAGGGAAGGGATTTAGTGCTAGCTTACCACAATCATTCCGACGTGCCTATGCCTCCACACATTCACTCAGGCAATCTGGATAGAAACTGACAACAAGAACGCCACTGACATCGGTTGGCAGCCATATCTTGTAGTGTCTCTAACCAGGCACAGTGAGGATCACGCGGTCCCCATCCTGGGAAACGAGTAGCACCGACAGCACCCAAGCGCTTCGTGATCTCCTCTGCCAAGTCAAGAGTTGGCCACCTCTCTGTTTACGCCACTGTGAGTTGGGCATGGAAAACAGCACTCTCTTCGGCGAACGATGGTTCGGCATACATAACACATGCTCCAACCAATCCATTCGTAGCCCTCCTTACAGTACTACAGTGAATTCAGCACGTATGACTACAGACTACAATAGAGGTTAACCAGATGAAAGTAGTGTAATAGAATCACCAACCAAACTTTGTTCTCCGTGAGTAAGAATGATCAGGTCGTAAATGGTGTTCGTCAACACTCCAGGTGCATTAGTCCACCGCCTCTCCCGGGGGGAAGTAATTCCGCTGACAGTATTGACGGAGTGACACGGGGGATCGAACAAATACTGATTTAGAGGTTCTGTCGCCAACAGACATCAGGACACAGTAGAACGCTTTTGCTCAACGGATGGAGACGCTAAGATCAGTAGAACAAATGCATTTACACCGTAATCCGATGCCCAAGTAAGCACCAGGCCCCAGAGGAAAACCCTATACTGAGCTGGAGCATGATGCACAACGAAACGAAGGTGCACACCACAGATGCAGCTCTAGTGATCGCTACCTAGGTGCGAATTCCGCCCCTAGGTGAAACGGCCTGTCGACTGGCCGTAATAAGCAGCTGGTCTGGCACTCAGTCCGTTCACCAAAAATCACCCGAGGCAGCTGTCCACTGGACTTAAAACCACTAATGTCTTCATACAAAAAAGGAACTCCCGAAATATCGTTGTGCGTGCTGCCGATGAGAAAAATTGTTGAGGCGAGCTGCCCTCCACATTCGTGAAGCCTACGGATTCCACTAGTTCTCTTCGTGGGTAGCATTCCCTAAAGAACTACTCCTTCGATATGAGTAACGCAAACGAATGCTCGTTAGTGTTTCTGGACATGGAAACCGATTGTGCCTCCATGGATCTCGGAATCGCATGGGAATAAATTCGCTTAACTGAAAGTGTTGGCGAACAACTTCACACTCAGCCTGTTCGGATAGGGTGCCAAGAGAACCAGGGAGTTGACGCGAACTCTGTCTAAGGATCGTAAATAACCAAAAAATCATGGTGCCTTCAGTATAAAACAGATCCGTTTTTTGCACCTGCTGTTCTGTAGTCAACGACGTTCGAGGTACACAAAGGACAGGGAGACTCCTACGTTGCCATGAAGGCACACGAACACAGTCCTATCAGCAACGTGAAATCACGAGTGGAAAGAGTGGAGTTCTATGGCGACAAAAAGTGTAACTTGCACGGTCAATATTACTTGGTTTTAGGGGAACAGCGCGGGGAGGTTCAACTAGCCACAGTCAACGATNGTCAATATTACTTGGTTTTAGGGGAACAGTACGAGGAAGTTCAACTAGCCACAGTCAACGATCATCAGCGGTTTAAGACTCCACTGCCGTTGTGTGTGGACACCACGAGGCGAAACCAGACACAAACAACTCGCAGTCGATTCCCATCTACATCAGGAAGCTCCACTCTGTAAAAAGTCGTAAAGAATGGTCAACAAAATGCGAACGCCTCAATCCACATTCTAACTAACTGGATTACCATGTTTCCCACGGGTATCTGGTTGTCAGTGTTCTACATACACCTACTGACCATCGGTAATGAGGAGGCCCGTAGACACTGGAATCGTGATTGGCTGTCGGGTCCACACTTTCAGCCTATCAGAGCTTGTCTTGATGCTGGATTGGCAAGCGGCCCGATCTTCTGACCAATCGCGTGGATGAATCTGGGCTTACGAACGAGTGTATAGGGGAACATTCCGCTCAACTGGGACGCATGTGCCTGTACGGATAGAGAATGTAAGCTGAACCTCCAAATTCCACACATGTAAGACACAGGAAAAGCCCTTGATCAAGACTACGGATGGCTTATATAGGTAGGGGTTCTGATGTACAGAACTCCTTAGAGAGACACTTGTGAAGACGGTTTCTTAGGTGAACATGCAGCAGGATGGATATGAAGACATTCGTTCGGCTGTAACACCCTTTTGATACCCACCTGCCTTGCACCCCGAAGAAAACACGAGATTGAGAAATCTCCTGGAGCAGTCGAGATGCACAGTTTGAGTTCATACCACGGACCTTCTGATCAGTAAGTTCGCGCCTTAATAACGAAGCTTTATCGGGCTTTAGGGGGATGGAGAACATTGTGCAGGATCGAATCGAGGTTTGAGTAAGCTATGTTTTACCGAGGACTCGGTGAAGGATACATTGACGACGTCTGACGACAATAGAGTCGCACCTAAGAGCCCGCAAGCAATCACAGATGAGCAGTATAGTACTACGGGCAGACTAGCGGTAAGATTTGACTAAATAAAGGGGAATGTGTGCCGGATCTTCAGAAACACGTCGTCTACAAGATCACATTAGAGAACAACGTACAGTAACTTAATTTTGAGGTATTTAGTGTACATTCGTTGCGGTAAAAATGTTGAAAGCTGAGATTGGTGGTTATTCAAATTTCGAAGGGCAAACACCAGTCAAGTTGAGGGAAATGCTTTACAACTATCAGCTATTGGTATGAGTGGGGATGAGATGGCACAAGTGGTTAGAGCGCAAATTTACTGACCGGAAGATCCGTGGTTCAAACTCGGCCTGTCTCTCGATTTCCCCTGTCTAGGCTTGGGCAACCTCGCATTATCCCAGCCCTCGTGCTTCCTTCGGGTGGTATGGCAGCTAGGCACCAAAAAGGTGTTACAGCTGAACAATTTTCTATTGAATTAGTATGGGTATTCCGCGACTACAGAACAGGCCCCACGAGTGACATCTTCGTCACGGCTTATTAATAAATCGTCGTTCAGCTGTAACACCCTTCCGGTGTCTAGCTGCCATGCCACCCGAAGGAAGCACAAGGGCTGGGATACTGCCAGGTTGCCCAAGCCTAGACAGGGTGAGAGGCGGAGGTCAAATTCGAAGGACCGACCTTCGGGTCAGTAAATTCGCGCTCTAACCACTTGGTCCATCTCGCCCCCAAGTGGTCATATTACCTTCTTAAGGCGGTTTGGCTTTCTGTTTACCACTGGAGACTTGTGACAAACCTATCGAGAGGATTCTGAGCTTGTTGGTCGGCCTCAAATGTAATCGGTGCAGAGGGGATCCGTTTGTGAGAAAAGTCGGAAGAAGTGTAGACGTAGGAAGTAAGTATCAGAAAATCTTAGGGCGAAATCAACGTACTTTTGAACGGAAACGAAAACCTTTCGCCGTAATCGCAACAAGTGCCTAGGAGCCGGTTCAGCCCCTTTCAATGACTGCTTATAAGGTCCGCCAGGACAGTGAACAAGACCCTAACATCGAGTATCATTGTAAGTGGTGGTCATGTTCCTGACCACCAGATGGATTTAGATGGTAATCGAGCCACCACTAGCCAACGGATTTCGTGTTTTCAGGACACCGCTATTCGCAAGAAGCTACAGCCAGCCCCACTGGAGCAGTTTCACAGGAAGGTCCTCACTCTGACCTCTGATGTACTCCCAGATAGAGCAAGCCCCAACTATTGCTTGTAGACGGGCGAAGCAAGTAAGCCGACCGAACCCTGGTCATGTCTTCGCATCCACTATGAAGGTCCGGTTGATGGTCAGCACTTTTTGGTTGCAGTCTACGCTTACAATAAATGGCTGGAAATCCTTACCATGAACACTGTCACGACTGTCGTAACAAACCCGGAGCTCACACGATTATTCAATCACTTTTGAACTCCGTAGACTGGTTTATCCAACAACGGCAGTCAATTCACATCATCGGCGTTCGCAGTTTTGTCAGAAGTATGGTTTAACTCATCTACAATCGAACGGTCAGGCAGAACGTTTCGTTTACACCCTAAAGCATGTCTCTCAGAAGTCCAAAAGCGAGGGACCCATAGAGAGGTTTCCCAAAGGCTCCTGATAACGCATCAAGCAATGCAGGACTTGATTTCGCCTGACGGTAGCTTCCAACGGCGCACGACATTATTTGGCCAAAGCAAAAGCAACTGGATCGTCGCAACAAATGGATGGAGGAACAATTCAACAGGCATCACGGCGCGACCACGAACAGCTCCAACAAAAACCAGAGGGTTTTGACTCACAACTACAGTCGCAGACTCCCGGGCATAGTCTGCGCCGGCGAGGCAAAGCACTGCAGGAGGTTTAGGTTGGCACAGCCAGGCGTATGCAAACCAAATCCACCAACAAGTGCGCAGATTATGTCCTCTTCAACCAAATGACTTGATACTAGATAGACTCCGCCGCTACTGACAACTGTTACCGAACCCCGGAAGGCACTGACCTAAACTGGTAGGATCAGTGAAATGCCTGTCATCCAGGGAAGCGAGCTGAAATGGCCAAAACCAGGACAGCGAACGCGAATGTTCGACCTAGTCGATCCACATTCAAAGAGAAAGTACAGCCACTCACGAACCCACAGAGTCACAGCAGCTAGAGCTGCCAGTTTGTCATCCTCAGTATTCTTCTTCTATCGGAGATGCACAATTTGTCACGATACCTGAGGCGAGACAAACGGGCGACCAGGATCACGGATGTCTGAACTTAATGGATCGCAATAGTATGAAAAACGAGACCGAAATTATCACCCAGAAAGTCGTTACTCGTTGAGTTGAGTTCATGGAACACTTTGTAGGGCTTTAAAAACAAACTGAATCAACTGAGAAAAAATACGCGTGTAAAATTGGACATACCGGATTGGGAAACACCGAGATGAGGTTGATATGGCCGCTGGTCCGATCGAACACGGATTTCAAGCTCTGGAAGCCTTCAGTCGACTCAATCCAGGCGATACATTGGACAACTTCCAAGACCGAAGGGAACCACACCACCGGAGCTCGCGTCATCTGATCGCTGAGGGTAAGAGGGACATGATACAACTGAATGTGCTGCACACAGGCCGCCTCATGTTTCAGTTGGAACGATATTCGAGATATCGCAGTATAGTCTAGAATATTATAAACGAGTGATTCAGTGGAGTCTCTCGTGAAAACCAAAATGATTTGCAAATGAGTGTATTTCTCGAAAACAGTGCAATTTGGGTTCAAGTAGAACATAAGGTTGACGGAAACTCGGGGACTGCGCCCCAACAAGGGCGAAACCGGTCGTGGGCTGTAGAAGATTTTTCAGCAACCTTGTGAGTAGTTTTCTTTACGAAGCGGTAACCTTCTTTGACCCAACGCAACTCGTCCTAAATTTGCTGAAAACTCTTCGCCCAAGCCCAATTACCGGTTTCGCTCTTATTGGGTTCCACCAGGTGCGCGCATCAACCATACTTGGACATTATATTGTATACGATCGGCAAAATACACCCACTCCACTTAATTCCAGTTAAGCTCTCGTCTTTGATAACATCGATCTAGATGATTTTTTCACCCTCCTCTCTGTACTGCGTTACCAAAGTTTAAAAATCCACCGATCCGTGTCGGTTAGTTTCCCGTTGAATTCAGAGCGTTCAGAGCGACTTCATGAAGCTTTGTAAGGTAATCATCGATCGCGGTTATACTGAATTCTCTACAAATTCCTCTTTTTGACGGGATCGCCAATCGGAGAGAGTCGAGCATTTTCCTGGCCATAGTGCCATTGCAATACCCAGTCAGCATCATGAGTGTCGACAGCATGACATCGCCGATGCTTCGCTGTTGTGCAGCTACGAGTTATTTGAAAGCCTTATTGTGAAGAAAAGAATAAAAGTGGAACAGAGGAGGAACTTGGTGCTACCTGTGGACAATCGTTCCGAGGTGCCTACACTTCCAGACACGCATTCAGGCAATCTGGATAGAAACTGAAAACAAGATGGCCCCAAATATCAGATAGTAGTTATATGTTGCATCGTCTCGTACCAAGGCCAGACCGTGTGCGTCAGCATTGGACCAAGTTCAGACAGTGTCCCTCCGATAAATAGCTTGATACCGTTGTACTCTGGCACTCGCACGCACTCACGCTCTCACACTAGCTTGTTCGGAATATGGTCGTTGTGTTCCCTTCTGTGAGTCTTTTCGGCAACTAGGCACTGGACCGGGTCAGATACCGGGTCAGCAGACACCTCAGATTGGGGAATCTGAGTACCATACAGAAGTAATTCGTTACCAGCAGGATCGATCCAACATCACTTACGAACCTCAACTGTCCTAAGTCCAGCACGCAACAGGCAAACTTTAGTTAGATAGTTGGGGTGATTGGGATCGGTTGTGTGACATATCTTACAGGGTTTCCAACCACCTATAAGCATGATCACGTGGACCCCACCTAGGAAGGTGCGAAGATCCCACAGCACTCAGCTTGATAGCTGTCGCTTTCCTATCACGTTGTTGTGTCATTGCCAGTAACCCGTTAGCCATTCGTGAACAGCCGCTCGAAAGAGAAAACAAAGCTTTCTTCACTAGACGGTGACTGGACTTACGCAACTGCTTTAACGAATTGGATTCGTACCCGCTCACGCACCAGTTCGTTGCGCAATCGCTGCAGCCAGCTAACTCTACATGTGATTTCAATACCTAAATTCCAGGCCCCCTGTAGTGTGCACTCTGTGATATAACGTTGATGACAACATTGAACAATAAGGATAAAAGGAACAGCCTCAAAAACCCTACTAGTTATCAGAAAGCTTCCAGAAAGTTCACTGTATACCCTAATGCGACAGAAGGTATGGATGGAACAGTCGATTTTGGTACCTTTTTTGAACACGACCAATGATTGGCCCCAATTATCTGGGACAGGTTTTTGTTTTCAAGTACGCGCATAACCCCATCGATTCAATGCGTCTGCAAGGCTTCTAGGAGGCAAAACCAAGCTAAGCATTGGTAGACCACGACGAAGAGACACACAGCGGGTACTGAATGGTTCGAAACCATGGTGTGATACGGTTACAGACAAAATTTCAAGGCCCCAGCTCAGCGATGATGGCCTATAAAGGTTGTCTGGAGGGGATAGTATCAAGAAAAGTATTAGAATAACAGACACATAACGGACAAAATCGCCTTGCTCACCGGAACACAGCACTTTTGGCTCCACCAGAAAGGAACAGTGCACGGCAACCCCGGTTGGTACTCGCAACCAGACAACCCTCGGTAGTTGCAAGGGGCAAATAGTGTGAACGACCATCTAACAACAGCGGGCCGACCTTTCCCACAGGTATCGGGATGAATCCAATAACCTGAACGATCATGGGGAACAAAGGGCAGATTGATCAGATAGGCTAAAAAGGACTTCGTCTGAATTCTTACTGGAGAGAAACATAACGGGACCCAACACAAATGCCCGAATTACCCGCCACTTCAACAGTGACAATTCCAAAACTAACTTGGATTCCGCTGGTTTCTAAAACTGTTTAACTTTGGTCTCTCTCAAACCCAGAACAAGAGGTAGGCCTAATATCTTCGAAGAACAGGCAACCCCGGCAGACCAGAGTGCTGCCCATCCCAAGATGGGAGAGTTGTGGTTATATCTTGTGAAGTAGTGCTGATGACTAGTCTATTCTGAGAGCTTTCTAGTACGCCCGTTCACTACTTTCAGTCTGGTCCCTATAGTGTCTATGAAACAGTAGGTTCATGCGCTACCCGGGTAACGGTGATACTACTGATGGAAGGGCGGCGAGCAGTGTTTTCTCGTAAATCCGCCTTGCATCTCTTGAATAGTGAGATCTATTACGAAATTGGTGGAGTCGCTTTGTAGCATTTGCTTGGATTTGAGCAACAGTCAATGAATATCCAGGAAAGTTCAGGAAGACGCGTTCAACAAGAAGATGGATATTCAGCTTTTGTAAACAAGATGCATATGAGAGTTTTGCTTTCCTGTCAAATAGTGCATAACTGTTCCTTTCACCAAAAACGAAACACACTCACCTGCACACTAATCTGTTCTTATCTGAACCCCCGCTGAGTCTCTCATTGATGATATTACCCAACTGAATGTGCACACGAACTGTTACTGAGTTAATGAATATAACTTTCAGCTGCTGAAGTGAACGCGTCCACAGTATTCTCGCTGTTCTCAAGAAGTGACAAGAAGTTCTGTCCCCTCTCACCTGTGGTCGGAGATAATTTCTCAATTTACTAATCCGACATATCTGGACGTATCACTAAAGGGTGACGCGAATGGGTTCTGTTCCTTCCAATCATATACACGGTTTTTTTTAAAGCATCAATCGGTTTCACTGTTCGCCCGACCTATGAGTGGCATTGTTGGACCGCTGAAAGAAGTCTCTAAATTCCACGAAATCTCAAATAAGGTGTTTATAGACTTCACAGTGAAAGCGTGGAAAGGCTTTTCCCCAAATTCTCCGACAGAATTCTTTCCGGAATCTTTCAGTTTCTTCACCAGTTTACCGTGTGTACCTTACGCACTCCTTCCAAGTGCGGATCATTGACAGCCAGAACCCGACTCGTTTTATATTCTGCGTGACAATCTCGCTTTCCGGTTTTGCTGATGGATGGCTAAGATGAATTTTCCTTTTTTTCTTCAATTTATTGCGACATTGTTTTAAGCTTCAAACAACCTGGACGTTCTAGTGTCGCTAGCAATCTAATCAACTTTTCCTGAAATCTTCGGTTCTTCCTCAACAAAGGTACATTGAATTCAGAAAGATGCGAACGATCGATAATGAGAGGAACAGCAATATGTCCTTGCCAGGATATTGAGAAACCTTCATACGGCGACCGGGAATAGGCATCAAGAACAAACAAACAACGGTTTCCTGGAAATATCATCATTGCAGTGATCATCGACAGCATAGCACCAATATTCGACACTGATACTCCTTACACATAAATTACAACTGTGGGTACCATTTGGTCAGACAAACGAGGATACGAACTGCTTGATACATTATTATGACACTATGCCTATTTTTAGTTCCCGATTGGTACGAATCACGCACTCGGGCATTCAAATGAGTACTCGCCACTGAAAACTTTTGCCGGGAAGAAGTGCAGTGGGAAAAGTTGCGGTGACACTCTACTGCACTCCATAAACACTGGCTGAACAACACGTGACCAAATGTCGACGGAGCACATGATATGGCCCCTGTAGAGATGGTACACTCCGTTGGCGCAGCAATTGGCTTATGAATCACCAGCAGAATGACCAGAATGGGTGTCAATCTTTCCTTGAGAATAAAAGCTCGTCCAGCTGTAGCACCCCTTCGGTGTCTATCTGCCATGCCACACGAAGGAGGCACGAGGGCTGGAACACTGCCAGGTTGCCCAAGCCTAGACAGGGGAAGTCGAGTGGGAGAGGTCGGGTTCGAACCACGGACCTTCCTCCAGTCAGTAAATTCGCGCTCTAACCACTTGGACCATCTCGCCCCTTCCTTGAAAATATAAGTAACATCGACTAAAGTGCTCAGCCTCACAGGAATTGGAATCACTCCGAATCGACCACCGAAACATTTCGAATGAATACACACGAAGGTGACAAGACACGTGAACAAAATGTAACACCTTACCTCCTCACAACACTGGCCATGAACGAATCGATAGTCATACTCTCTGAAAGGTAGCCGCTCCAACGCGTGTGGGTTGGACAAAAGACGACAGAGGTCCGCACGTCTAAGTTCAACCGCTCGATTGGGATTTCGCACTAGAGATTCCAAGTCCCGAGTTTTCAGCTTACCCATCGACAGCTGTTTGAGCAGTTCGTCGTCGGCAACAAACGCATCCGGTGGCTGAAAAGTATATTGATATTAGTGAGTGCAGTCGCTTACCAAATCTCAGCTTATCTGCCTTTTCAGGAAATGGGAAGAAAATAACGGCAATAAAATTTAGTGACCAGTTTGATTGTTCAACCGTAGCACCCTTTCGGTGCCTAACTGCCATGCCACCCAAGGGAAGCACGAGGGCTGGAATACTGCCAGATCGTCAAAGCCTAGACAGGGGAAATCAAGGTCAAGTTCGAACCACGGACCTTCCGGTCAGTAAATTCGCGATATAACCACTAAGCAAAACCTCCAGTAGTCCTCTCCAAATTTTTACACGTAACCCATTGCTTTACCTACATATACATTCTATGTACATAACTTGACAGTATAATACTAATAATAATAGTCGTTTAGCTTAACACGGTTTCGGTGTCTAACTGCAACGCCACCCAAAGAAAGCACGAAAGCTGACATATTGCCAGACGAGATAGCGGGGCCGGGTTCGAACCACAGACCTTCAAGTCAGTAAGTTCGCATCAAGTGGTTAGAGCGCGAATTTACTGACCGCAGGGTCCACGGTTCGAACCCGACTTCTGCCTCTCGAATTCCCTTGTCTATGCTTGGGCAACCCGGCAGTATCCAAGCCCTCGTGCTTCCTCCAGGTGGCATGTCAGCTAGGCACCGGAAGGCACGGGGAGGGTGCTGGATGAACCAATATTATTATATTTACCTTAACCACTCAGCTATCTTGTGCTCTTGATGACAGTTTACTTGTTTTTTTACAGTTCGTACAACTGTCTATACGAACGGATATCCCACCAAGACCACATGGGTACCAACTGTTTTTTTTATAAATTCTTGAATTCCCCTCGCCCATATTCCAACAGTTCTCCCCTCTCTGGATGCAATTTCCCCGGTAGGTCAACAGTGAGCTTAGTAGAGCTCAGCAGTGATACCGTGCCATAGATTGAACACCAGGCGAGATGGAACAAGTGGTTCGAGCGCGAATTTACTGACCGGAAGGTTCGCGGTTCAAACCCGATCTCTTCCCCTCGACTTCCCCTGTCTAGGCTTGGGCAACCTGGCAGTATCTCAGCCCTCATGCCTCCTTCGTGTGGCATGGCAGCTAGACACCGAAAGGGTGCTACAGCTGAACGATTTTTTTTCACATGACTGATCGACCACCAAAAGCTACATACGTCGAGCTAATTAACTGAGTTGTCCGGATCACCCCATTGAAAATCAGTTGGGTGCGTTTCTCTGACAAAGAATGCACAAGACAAGAGGAGAACCAGCCTAGTCTATTCTTCACTTGATGGAGTTTCGTGTTCGTAGCATTATAAAATTCGATGTACTGAACACGTCATCGTATTGGATCGGACTCAAATGAATTGGCGAATCACGAATGTGCTTGTGGGGACGAAATGCGATGAATTCAACAGTCAAAATTATTGTTGGGTTAGAAAAAAGGGAGTTTTCATGACCCCATTTGATTTCAGCTCAAAGATATAGACCGATGGCTTGCTAGTCAATCCAAGCCTGTTGACGCAACAAACTGACATTAATTTGTCTCAAGGTGCACGCGCATTTGATAGGCTAGTAAGATCGAGTGGGAAGACCATTGGTCCACTGTTCCTATTGGCTCAGCTCGTACATTTTCCTGAGTCATCAAGGCATACCGTATTCACGAGAGATGGCGATTGCTGCCAATTTTTAGCTGGACTGGACTGTTCTTGTATGGCATAGAGATATAACTTTACATGAAAAAGTGCGCTTGGGCGGAACGGTGATGAAGCATACGGTAATTTGGGTTGAAACGACCGATGGGACCAGATGTTGGATCCGAAACGACATGACACCAGCAGGTTATTTGAGTTAGGCAGCCAGGAGGCAGTTCAAAGCCGTCGCCTCCGTGTGCACACAAATGTCTAGCAGTCTACGTGCATATTTGGTTAATAACGTAAATGGATAGAAACACTCGCCAATCGACACCGAACTAAAATGTTTTGTACATGACAAAAGCGGTCAGGTTTTCCGCGGACATAAACCGGAACGTACAAGCCTTGCTCGGATGGAACACTCGGTTGCCAATTCGTCATCACACGCCTTCCGAGCTGGTAGACGTTCCGTGGGAAGATGAGTTTCAATGGCCGAGGCCGTTCTCTGCGTACAGGAGGGGAAAAGTGAATAGTATACTGAAAACAAAAGTTATGACGGGAAGCAGTCTGCACAGAAATCACCCTAGATGATCTGGACAATACAAAAATCAATGGTACTATGAGGAGATTAGGTAATTTTCAATTAAGATTACATCTCGTAGGGGAACCCAATTCAGGCTGAAAAGCCGAGCACTCACTGCTGCCGTGAATGAAGAATGTGGCGTTATATCCTGTCTAAATTCGACTTAATTATACTGGTGGTCAGTGTCCCTCGTGACCTAACGGTTCGGTGTACGACTACTGGCCAGGAGGTCGTTGGTTCGAAACTCTGACGAGTTACGTGAGATGCGCACTACTGCTTTCCAATAAGGACGAAACAGCTGTACAGCTTCCTCGACTTTTCGGCACAGATTAGCTTCACTTACAGAACGGAATCTCAATTTCAAAATAAAATGGCTGGCTGGAGAGTAAAACAAAACCGGAATAGTCTGCTATTAGTGATCAGGAAAACGCATTAAACACATGGAACTAAAGTGTCTAGAAATTTCTTGGTTTCAGCAAGGCTTTCACTCATTAGTGGGTGATTGAGGACGACTGTCATGGTCCAAAGCTCAGCGAATGATTTCATGGCCGGAACCGTACCACCTTGGTCCATTTGGTGTCCTTTGACCCGGAAATTAGAAAGTTGGATCAGCCCTGATCATCTTCACCAACCTGGCAGTAACACTGCAATAGTAGATAGTCGCTCAGCTACAACATCCATTCAGTGTACAGCTCCCATGACGAAAAAAACACGGGGGCTTAGATAGAGTGATCGAACCGTAACAAAAATATAGAGTGCGATATACGAATTAATGGTCTACGCAAAGGTATGATTTATATTGTCATGACAGGTTTGCCACAAGTTTCTTGTTTCATCGTTGCTCTGACCACGCAATCTACTGTCCATAGGGCTCAAACTATGCAGAAGTCGAACCAGGTCATCAGAGGATTGGATCGACCGCGTTGTTCTGTCGTGGGAAGAGAGTCAAGTTAAACAAACATACACGATCCCTCCACACTGCTAGAAGGCTACAGGAAACAAGTGTCAGAATCCGACGACGGTTCTCCTCGCGATGTTTGCTACCACGTCCATGGTGTTGAGAAGCAAAGCAGTTATCTCGCAGACCACAAGGTAACCCCTCTTCGGTTCTTGAGGAGAATGTTTCCTCAGGAGAGGAAGTGCAATAGAAGAATCCGGGTTTCCAAAAGCCTCTTCCCAGTGGGTGTGAAAGAACCCGAGGGAGGCAGGCTTTCTCATCGCCTTACTTGGTTGGGGTCACACGTCAGCATTGAGGCGGCAGTATTATGACGCTGCCGTCCATAAAGAACATCGTGGCCTGAACAGGCTAACGAATAAGGTACTGTTGCTCAGCGTAACGACCCAGCAAAATGAGGCGCGAGATGGCTCAAGTGATTAGAGCGCGAATTTACTGACTGGAGGAAGGTCCGTGGTTCGAACCCGACTTCTGCCTCTCGCCTTCCCTGTCTAAGTTTGGGCAACCTGGCAGCATCCCAGCCATTGTGCTTCCTTTGAGTGGCACCGGAAGAACGTTACAGCTGAACGATACCACAATGAGATAACTGAGTACCAGAATTTTAGACTGTAGGAATGTATCAACCATGCCGAAATATTGTCCATCGTGACCAGTATAGTGCTGAACTTAGGTTCGCGTGGAGCCAGAAGACCCGAAATAACAATTAGCTGTTGTCAGCTACCAGAACCCTGTTCAGTTTCCCTTGCAAACGCTTACCAGCGTACAAACGTCGGGACCCACGATGTCCAACGAAAATTGAAAAGGGGTAGCAAGCACGTTTCAGCGTAGGTAATCGAGCTTCCGCTGTGATTTCAGCACATTAGAGACACTTCCAGCGACCACTTTTGGATCGCAACGCTTGCACGCGTGAACTTGGAGAGTCGTTCTAATAAATTCTGCGGAATTAGTCAACTTACGTTCGTCACATTAAGAAGCACAGTGCAAACCTAAGTCGGACCATTTCACTTTGCATTCATAATAGCGCTTGTGAGTGGGATAGCTGATGCTGCAAGCATCATGCAACTGCCAGTGCTAAACTGAATGAAGGAATATTTGTTAGTAATCACTAATTAATTCCGGTGCATAGTATTGCGATGACACGCACGCCTCCACATTGGCTGTCGGCGGTCGTCTTCATTTTCTGTATCCGTGTTGTTTCAGAAGTGAAGACGTGAAAAGTAGTTTCCAAAATTTGGGAACTCAGGACCACAACCACCTATCGAGAATGGACGGTAGGGAGAGTGTGGTAAAGCCTATGGGAATAAACCACACTTCAAAAGATAAGTCCGCTGTCTACGTATACGATGAAAAGGGTCTAGGATGGTGGCCCAGGAAATAAAGACCCTTCTGCGGGAGAACGATAATAGCTAAGGAGCCACTGCGTTGCACAAACAGTCCCTTGGTTCCAAAGGTTGACTGAAGAACAAGTGTGTTGACCTGTCCAAAAGTATTTAGGTTGTTGTAGTAATCTTATGCCGGAGCGCCGCTACTCGGTAACCTGGCAGTTCAACAGGACTCATTGGCTAGCTTGTTCAAGGCTAGGTAGGCATTTTGGTGGCAAATACACAAGCACGAAGAGTTATGCCTTGGTTGGCTTGATGACACTAAACGAGGCGCTCTATGTGAGGGCGAGATGGTCCAAGTGGTTAGAGCGCGAAGTTACTGACCGGAAGGTCCGTGGTTCGAACCCGACCTCTGCCACTCGAGTTCCCCGGTCAAGGCTTGAGCAACCTGGCAGTATCCCAGCCCTCGTGCTTCCTTCGGGTGGCATGGCAGCTAGGCACCGGAAGGGTGCTACAGCTGAACGCTTTCTTTTTTTCATGTGATCTATACAAAAAAATCGTTCAGCTGTAGCACCGTTTCGGTGCCTAACTGCCATGCCACCAGAAGGAAGCACAAGGGCTGGGATATTGCCAGGTCACCCAAGCCTAGATAGGGGGTCTATACAGCAAGACAAATAAAAAGCCCAAGGTAGCTCGGTGGTTACGGAGCCAATTTATTGACTGGAAAGTCCCGAGTTCGAACCCAATTCAGGCATCACGACTACTCCTGTGTAAGCTTGGGTAACCTGGCATATCTCATTCTTCGTGCTTCCTTCGGGCGACATGACAGCTATGCACGGAAAAGGGGTGCCAAAGCTGAGAGGTTATTGTTACATTAAATGGACAAGACTTGAGCTGTAGGTGTTCTTTCGGTACTGGCTAAAGGAAGAAGGCCTTCGCTGCGGAGTTATTTATTAGAAAATGCCAACTAACCAGTTAGACTATTGGACAGGGAAGCAAAAACTCTCATATGCATTTTGTTCACAAAAACTGAACATCCATCTTCTCTTGAAGGCGTCTTCCTGAACTTTCCTGGATATTCATTGACTGTTGCTCAAATCCAAGCAGATGCTGCAAAGCGACTCCACCAATTCCGCAATCGATCTCTGTTTTCAAGAAACGCAACGCGAATTTACAAGAAACATACTACTCGCATGCCTCTCCATCAGTAGTATCACCGTTACACTGGTATCCATGGTTGATCGGTACATAACTGATGTGACCGTGAAAGGCATGGAGAGGTATGAGTATCTACTTTGGCCAGTGGTAGCTGCATAGGGAAATTTATCAATGACCCTAGGATTGTCCAGTTGGTTGCCTCACTTAGATGATAGTATACGTACGTTTTGACGATCGAAACGATAATTGAGTGAACTTACCTGTCGGGCTCTCAGGCGCCTCCCTATGCATGCACACAAATCAGAGGTGACAATCGGACGACATAAGTATACTCACTTGGGATGTGGAAGAAAAAGGAGGGGTCCCATTCGTTGACATCCACTTGACTTCCTCTCCAACCTTTGAAGTGGTGTCACCAACAAAGGATGCGTCAGTGCCCACAGTAAAATCCAACAATTCCGCGTGCCGCGCAGCACGCAGTTTCGCACGATGATAGAGAAGCACGGCTGTGATCACAAACAGGCTGAGATTGAGTGTGGCACGGTTGAATAGCCGAAACCACTGCCACCGAAAAAAGCGAATAAAAAATGAAGGTGGAGTTGCATACTGGAAAGCGGTTGTGTTGGAAGCGTGTTGAGTATCGAATTCCTGGTCTTCGCCCAACCACGTGACAAACTGGTTGTGCAGACACAGTAAGCAGAGAGTGACCGTCATGAGGTACTTGATTCTATCCAACACCGGAGATGCATATCTGAGGTTAGGGTTGTGTTGAAGAACGGTTGAAACACTGACTGGAAGCCTTTCGGGGTAGGACTGCACTTTGGCCGAACAAGAACGGCTGCGGCGACGCACGGCCATACTTACGGGTGTGCTAAAAAACAAAAGCAGAAACGATATAGACGACAACATATATTGGTTTTCAACATAAAGGTGGTGTTAACGGAAGACTCAAGTGAATTTCAGCTATCGGAGAGTTTTCAACAACCCTATAAGTAGAATGTTGTCCAAAAGCACTGCAATTTCCCAGACAGAGACACTGTGCATGTATTTAAGAACACAAGTTTCTTGTGCCGATATTGCACCATTTGAGTAGTATGTGGATGTTTTACGTAGCTTCTGATAAAGTTTTCAACAGGTGCGAATCGTCTGGGGCGAATGCACCAGATAATGAATTTGTCACTCCACGACTGGAGTATAGCAATGTAACTGTGGATCTACTGATGAAAGCATGCGAGTAGTATGCGGTTTCTCATAAATCCGCTTCGTGTCTATTGAAAAGTGAGATTTATTAAGAAATTTGTGGAATCGCTTTGTAGCATTCGTTTACGTTTGAGTGATAGTCAATGAGTACCCAGAAAAGTTCAGGAAGACGCGTTGGAGAAGAAGACGGATATTCAGTTTTTATGAACAAGATGCATGAGAGTTTTGCTTCCCTATCCAATAGTCTGTAAGTGTTCAGTTGGTGTTTTCTAACAACTCCGCAGCAAAGGCCTTCTTCCTTTCACCAGTAGCAGACAGAGATAAGGAACTAAAACTACTTCAAAGAACCACTCATGAATCCTGAAGGGTGCTCTCAAGTAGATTGCCGGCCTCCATCTTGAAGATCAGTAAACCTGTTGTTTCAGAAACAAGGACCAAAAAAGACAATTCTTTTCAAACATGTCACTTTATATTACTTGGACCGGAAGCTCGAGATAGCGAAGCGGATGAGACGGCGAACTACTGACAGTAGGGTGTGTGATTCGAACCTAACTCCGGTCTTTTTATTGCTCCTTTCTAGGCTTAGGCAACCTGACGGTATTTTAACCCTTGTGCTTTCTTCCAGTTACAAAGCAGCTGTGTACCGAAAGTGCGCTACCGCAGAGCGACGGATACGATAGGTCTAAACTTAGTCAATGACGTCAATATAGGATAGTTCTCCAGAACCAAACCCAGAAGATCATTGCGTCTAAACTCACTTGATTAGGCTCAACCGCATCTGCCTGCTGAAGTAAGCCAAAGGCATTAAATCTGATTTTCTAAAAGTGCATTGGGCACGGAAGATCAACGAAATAACGCAAGTACATCAGGGCTTTTTCACGGGCAGTTAACCATCCACTTGGAGAGCAAGAAAGTGTTTCTTTTCTTCGGTTCTAGAGTGTTTGCTCATGAGGGGGTGGAGTGAAAATTCTGTACTTAGATATTCTCCCTGAAGCAAAGATACTCTCGAGAGCATTGTGGCGCACAATACTACATGAACATTACAGGCTGATCAAACTCAAAAAAAGAAGCTAAGTTGATTCGAAATGTAACTGCCACCCACGAAACTTCTTTTGGTCTAATTACGCGCATTATTTTGCCATTACCGGGGATCGTTTCAATCCAGTAAGGTGTGGTCTGTAAGCCACAGTTTTCTTGACTGCAGTTTGTGTAGTTTTATCAAAAGATACACGGAAAATGAAAAGCATCAGTGAACTGCAGTAAACATGTAAGTAGTGGATAAAAATAATCTTACAGCGGCAACATTTTCGGCGCCTAACTATGCTGTCACCCGAAGGAAACACGAAAGCTGACATTGTGCCAACTTATCCAAGCATAGAGGGAGTTGTCCAGATGCTACGGTTGGGTTCCAACCACGGATCTTCTTAACAGTGAGTTCCCGCCTTAACTGCTGAGCTCAGTAAGCGTCCAAGTATGCGGTTGATGAGGCCGACGATCCCAGTTCTAGGTGAATCGGTGAAGTCCAAGTATGCGGTTGATGAGGCCGACGACCCCAGTTCTAGGTGAATCGGTTATAACTTAATTTAGGGCGAGATGGCCCAAGTGGTTAGAGCGCGAATTTGCTGACCGAAAGGTCTGTGGTTCGAACCCGACATTTGCCTCTCGACTTCCCCTGTCAATGCTTGGGCAACCTGACAGTATCCCAGTCCTCGTGCTTCCTTCATGTGGCATGGCAGTTAGGCACCGGAAGGGTGCTACAGCTGAACGAACTTGATTTTGAAATGCCACCTCTTGCAAAGTAATATCAAATACCGTCAAATGCCCACACAACAATGTTTATACAAATAAAGTCGTGTGTTAGAATGTACGTTGGAACGGTGGACATCTCCCACATGTACCGAGATGATTGAAAGGACATTACAGTTTTGTGCCTTCTGTGACGCTTCAGCAAGTGCGGCTTCAGAGCGGTGAAGCGGATGACAGTATCCCGCACATTTTGCAGACAGTCGAAGAATTAAATCAGTACAGTAAGATATAATGAGCGAAAAAATAAATCGATGAAAACACTGAATACTCAACACCGCATTTAGTGAACAAACCTGCCAACGAGCTGCTTCGATTGTAAGTTCATCGTGACGGACAGAGAGAACCCTCTGGTAGTTGTGAGCCAGATCAGTAAAGAAAGGTGAATCAAGATGACCGTGTAGACGAACAGCTGTATGAGGACAATGCGACAAACTGTTTCAAATCTACGGTAACCACACGTGGCACCAACGCCAAATCCAAATAATTTCACCAGCGCATTGATCAACTTTTCTTGAGTGAACGCTGACTTGCGGAACGTGAACAACAACCAAACGGTCGGACTTCTCTCCAGTGCCGTCCCATTTGCTAAGAACGACGCCATGAAACACTGAAATGGGTTTCCCCAGATTAGAATAGTTTGAAAACTCACAAACCTGTGAACAACCGAGAAACGCATCAACGTCCGATACTAATAAGAATAGGGTAACTGCCGCGAGGACGTCTCGCGCATTCCCAAACGGATAAAGAAACACAGAAAACGAAATGGACAGGAACATCACTGCGCAATAGAGAAGACTGAGGACAACTGTAGGAAATCTAATCCTCGATCCAAGAAAGTGGTGTTTTTGTGTCGGTAACGAGTGCGCGAAGTTGTATATTTGAGAGAACGCCACGTCCAGTGACCAGACAAGTACGATTACGGATAGCATGTCTTCCCAACCTGGAGCACAAACAACCTTCAGCGTATCTTCAAGTGAAATACTCATCAGCGGTACGGAAGGGTGTGCGACAATAAATCCAATGATGGCCAGATACCACTACGTTGTCTCGCTGCAAATCACGACACTCGCTGGAAAAGAAAACGCGCATTCCCAAACGGATAAAGAAACACAGAAAACGAAATGGACAGGAACATCACTGCGCAATAGAGAAGACTGAGGACAACTGTAGGAAATCTAATCCTCGATCCAAGAAAGTGGTGTTTTTGTGTCGGTAACGAGTGCGCGAAGTTGTATATTTGAGAGAACGCCACGTCCAGTGACCAGACAAGTACGATTACGGATAGCATGTCTTCCCAACCTGGAGCACAAACAACCTTCAGCGTATCTTCAAGTGAAATACTCATCAGCGGTACGGAAGGGTGTGCGACAATAAATCCAATGATGGCCAGATACCACTACGTTGTCTCGCTGCAAATCACGACACCCGCTGGTAAAGAAAAGGAAACAGTAACCGCTCAGGTGTGGACAACTGAAAGATGTGGTGACCTAACAGAGCATTTCCTTAAAGAAATCCGAAGGTGGCATGAAGTCTAGAACACGACCGGGTCATCCAAGCCTAGGAAAAAAGTTACGGAAATGCAACGATTGTGTCTGAGCTGGGGGTCGACATCTCAGGCGTCTGTCACGAAGAGACTGCATCTTAAAGGGATGTGACGGTTTAGGTACCTCACTGTGGGTACCACTGTGGGCGACAATGAACAGCACGAGGCGGTGAACAACCCACACCGTCGCCCGGGTAGGTCTTATGTGGTCCATTGGCATGAGATGAACAAAAGACATTAATAAGTCCTTAATCTCAGCCAAATAACTCGAGCGACATGACTGGTGTGGTTAGCGGTGGCAGCATGGATTAGATCCGTGGACCGCTTTCCCATTGTTGAAGCGGTCCCACGCGACCACAACAGCCTGGAGAAAGACTATGAGGGACAGGCTGTTCAATTAAGCCTACCCCTCCGGGCTCTGAGACACAGAAGTGCATGACCATTTCAATTTCGGTAATATGTGAGGGGACCATTATTTAAAGGCAGGGAAGGCGTACGTGAATCCATATGATAATGAGCCTTTATACGGACGATTTACGTGACTGTACGAATTCTCGTATAACAAATGGTGTCTGATTTTGACGGATCAGGCAAAGAAATCATGAAAAACCAAACGGGACACGATTGAAGGCGAAGACAACGTATGTGGGATGGAGCGCTTTTTGAACGCCCATATCCACCAGAGTACTTCGCACACAAACGAAGAATGAACATAAGTATAAATCAACATTCGAAATTCAGAATTCCAACTGGAATTCAAAAAAACAGGGCTCATGTTTTATGAAAAACAAAAGCATGACCTCGAAACCAAAACATTTTCAGGATGAGCCACTCTTAAAGGGCGAAGAAATGTTAACCTGGTGGTCATAGTCGTTAAGGTTGTTAAATTGGTCTCGGCAGGTTGAGAGCAATACGAAAGATGCCAGCAAAAAGTAGTAAGCGGTATACTTAACAGCATGTTTTTTCACCCGTGCTGCAAATTTCATTTGCATGCTCCATATATAGATGTCACTCGCAAGTGGATGCTACCCTGTAGAGTAGAAACGACCAATAACACCGAAAGGGTGTTACAGCTGAGCGTTTATTTGTTTTTTTTTTGCGTATTTAGTCTACAATGACAAGGCTGGCCACGCTGGCCACACTATGCGGGTAATTCAGCTGACAGTAAGCATGCACTCTCAGTGTCTCCGGTTCACCTGGCATGGATGCACGCCGTTAAACCGATGTGGACGTACAATCGTTATCGCAACGAGTACAGGTCGGGAAATTTATCAAATTTACCAGAATCGTCTTTCGGACCCTCCTTCAACTGCTTCACCGATTCTTACCGGAACGAACTGTCCATCTTTGCATAGTGTCGGGAGTTTCGTCTATGGCACGACGCTACCAGATCCGCTCAAGCACCGCATACCAGACAGAATAGTGGTACTGGTTAAATCTCGGAGGAATTTTCTCGCCGGTGGTGAACGTAATATAGCCCGACAAACTATTGGACCTCAAATGAAATTTAGCTTGCGCCCCGAACACGAAGCCTGGTGGACACCGAAGATTAAGCAAATGTAAGGGACCAAGAAATTCCGGGATTCCCGCTCGACCGGACCCAGGAAGTCGTTTATGGGTAAAACCACCAAGAATCAAAGTGGCGCAACGAGAGATTCAGCTGCGTCCCAGGTGAGTCTCTCGCAAATGAGTGTATTTCGCCAATTTGGTGCAACCATTTGCAACCACTTTCAATAAGGCCACCTGAAACATTGGGACTGTTACTTTGCAGAACAATTCTTCGGGCCACTTGCTTCCATTCAGTTATCCTGGAAATTCAGAGCCCGACCATAAAGGTTTACGACGGCATTTGTTCTATCGAACGTCACCGATGTACCCTCACATGCATTATTCAGAAAGGACGAAGTTCTCATTCAGCGTTTACTTGATCCATTTGCCTCCATTTTGGAAAAAAGGCCATCACAAACAACTGGGAAGAATCAGTGGTAATGCCCATCCTCAAAAACGGGGCGAGTGCGGCGAGCGGGACTTCAGCCTAGTCAGGGTTGAGTTGACCAGAAATTCACAGGCCGTCAGGTGCTAGGATCACACCATTCGTGTAAACGATCCACAATCTGGTACTCAGGGATTTCAAATGCGCATTCAACATGGTTGACTGGTCTGGTTGATATATATTCTTTGTGTTCTCAGGCTTCGGCACGTGTGACAGCACATAGGGAACTTTCAAAAGGCTTCCGCGCACAAAGTGGCATCCGATAAGGATGTGCTATCGCAATGCACGATCCCATTTGATTTCTTGACCAACGAGATGATAAGGTGAGTGCTGGAAGGTCTTAAAAGTCTCGGTGTTGAAAAAGCAACCAACGAAAGCCTCAAATCTAGATGCTGACACTGGCCTCATCTACAAACAGGTGTTATTTTTTATGAAGAAAACCATCCCGTCCTTTAGCATACCCTTTGCGTCCACGAAGTGGAAGGCCAGACCTCTGGACATGCAGTAATCGAACACTCAAAATCGTGGACGGTTTCACATATCTTGGAAGTTGTATTAGTTCCGACAGCAGTATGATAGATGAGGTCAATGTAAAAATGCCTAAGCCCCCAAGCCGCGTTTGTTAATTTGAGAAACTTATGGCGCAAAGTGGGTATATGCGCGAATCTCGAGGTACGTTTGCATCAATTTATTGTATCGTTTTATTGTATGGTTGTAAGACGTACACTCATTGGGAGGGGGTCGTTACCAGAAAGAGGCGCGGAATTCACGCATAACAAGCCCAATTCAATAAAAGAAAAAGTGATAGAGAATTCGTGCGAAAAAGTGCCATGTCCACAGAAGGAATAAATGGATCGGTGGTCCACGCTTCGAACCCGAACTCTGCATCTCCACTTCTCCTGTCTAGGATTGGGCGATCCGGCAGTATTCCAGCCCTCGTGCTTCCTTTGAGTGTCATGGCATCTAGACACCGAAAGAATGCTACAGCTGAACGATTATCCTTTCATTATTATTACCCTCAAAAAAGGCGATTAAAAATAAGGTGGCTATAACTCTGGATAGCATTGCAACAAACACATCTGAGCACCGTGTCGAGACAAAGCGCCATCAGTGGGATCAACCCAGCGTCCTGTGCGAACCTCATCCGACATAACCCCAGCGCACAGCGACAAGCTTCAGTCAGATATTCTGGTTAGGAAACGACAGCATGAAAACCACTGCGACCGGCTGTGTCAGGTTTTCCAACTACCTGTGAGCAGGATTGTGATTAGCTAATAAGGTTCAAAATTCCAAATGTACCGAGTTTGACAGTGGCCGCTTTCATTTCACGTTGACATTTCATGGCCCGTCATCTACAAACCTTGCACCAACAATCGATTGGAACAGAAAATGACACTTTCTTCAGCAGATATATAATATCCTTCAACGACCACAACCTGCTTCTTTAACAAATCGGATTCCCTACCAAGTGCCCGTCTACGCATCACTTCGTTGCGGACTCACCGCAGCCAGACAATTCTTACCATGTTATGGGGACACCGAAAACGAAGCACTTGAACGCAGCTAAGGATCGCAGGGACAAGTCTCAAAACCATAGAGTAAGAGTTCCCTCGTAATTGCCTTGTATGATACTTTAAATTCAACAAAATTCGGCTCTGACACCATAAATGACACTGATCAGTCATTGATCGTCTGCTGCAACAAAATTACGGTTGCCACTATAGGCGATCCGATCAAAAAACACCAGGTACTCATTCTGAAGTTTCAGAGAAGCATAAGCATGAGATTTAGGAAGTGCAAAACGTGTGAAAAAATGGTATTCCCTCCAGTATCCAGGCTGCTGTTTTGCGTGGACAAACAATTGTCAAACAACTATGTCATCCGTATAATACAAATCCATCAATCCCTCTCTAGACGTGATTTCTGTACTGAGATTCAGGGTCCGCTGGAATGTGCACTCCACAGTGGTCAATCAGAGCGGACGAACCCCACTACTAATCAGGAAACTACTGGACAGTTCCTTGTACACCCCAACACGCCCGCAGGTATGGGAATGAAGGGCATGAAGAATGTTTGCAAAGTTCAGGACATTTCCCTCTCGCCAGGAATATTAAGGGAACCGATGGAGTCGAAGTCTCCCGCAATCTATGGAAATGATGACCGGTGGCCGGCGGTATATGTGGTGCTGCTAGAAAAAATCGATGCAATGCAAACATGCAATGCAAAGCAAACCATAAGTCAGTTGGAAAACCTGCTTGGTGCTCTCAGACTTTTGTGAAGACAGCTACCGCAATATAAGGAGAGCCAGCAACCGTCTTTCGACAAGCGTGAGACTATTATTCATAGGGTTGGAAAAGTCTGTTCAGGTAACTTTTCTAACACGGGTACGAACAATAATCGGCTCCGATCCTCGTTTCCATCATCATCTTCAACAGCATAACATAAATTTTCAGACAGGGATGCTTCGATGCGGTACAGTCATGATTTATTTTAAAGCCATACTTCGAATGAAGGGAATAGAAGTGGACGAGGAAGGGAATTAATGCTGGCCTACATCGATCATTCCGAGGTTGCCACACCTCCAGACGATCATTCACTGTGGACAGAAACTGGTGACAAGGCCATCGAGTAATAGCCATATATTGAGACACCTCAGACATAGCAGGCATCATGCGGTCTCCATCCCGGAAAGCGAGTCACTGGCAGCACCTGGGTGTTTCGTAATCTCATAACTCGTCGCTAGGTCACAGGTTGATGACCCATACAATTCCACCACTTTGCATTGAACACGAAAGAGAGCAAACTTTTCAATAAACGGTGGTCCGGTATGTGCGATACATGGCATCATCAACACAGATTCTGCTCCTGGACACATTCTTTGATGGAAGTCCCCGATACACGGCCTAGTACTCGCTTAGATTAGTGTTCGTCTCATTACCTGTCGTTATCTGTGCTCCGCCGTGACCAACGGACCCTAGTTCCAAATCAATCAAAAGTTGATCACATACCCAAGGTGCTCCTTGCCATCATTGCGGCATTAGGTTACAAGTGTGCTCAAGGTTGTACACAAAGTCGACTGGCACCCGAGTCGAATTCGCTAGGCAACAACGGACGATCCGCCGGACCACCTGCGCATCTCTAACAGGCAGTAGACATCTTGTGCCAAGTGGAATGCGGTGTCGTGTGGAACTCAGAATCCGACCTGAACATCAATGTTCGGAGACGAACCAATCGAAACAAACAAAATCACACCAACTGGACGAATGTTTCGTGAACCGGCTCCGAACCAAGGAGAGGCTTCCGGTCATTGGTCAGAATATAAACCACTCAGAGTCGAGGATTTCATCTCGCGCCTCTCACCACAGCTCCAGGTTTATAACATCACCTTGTGGAAAATTCCGTGGTAGTTATATTGACACAGTTGTAACAGGTTCACAGATTCATACGCAGGATCGAGGCTTTTGTCCAAGTTACCGGGGCACTTTTGTTCTTGTCGTTCAACGACTGTGGTTCACTTGAAAGACGCAAGTGAAAATAGGGTGTGGCACTGCTCTTCATGTTCTCAGCGAGGGGAATATGCTTGCCAAAGCATACTTTCCCATATATAACTGTCTCATAGTGCCTTGAATTGGGTTCAAGAAGGAGCGTGGACAACCGTCGGAGGAAGGTCATTCCACGCACCTACTACCCGAAATAATAAATTTTGCCTAATGAATGTGTGCACTCTGAGCTTGAAAATCTTACCATGTCCCCGCCGTGTTTGTTGGGTCATCGGTGAAAACCCTGTTGCTAAGCTTTGTTCAAACAGGGCATAAGTAAGAATTAGGTCCCCTCGGAGGCGACGGTACTCCAGG